CGGGTCAACAATTGGGTGGAAAAACACCTGAAGTGCGATTCAACACGAACCAAAGACCAAAAAGCTCAGTAAATCTCATTTGTCCAACCATAATCAGTGTGGTCGCTTGATGACATCCACTTTACTGGGTAACACACGCCTAGGTTTTAGTGGAGGGTGTCGTAGATACAATTTGTTGAAGAATGGCCGGAAATCTACAAAGAAGGCCAAACAGTTTATTTGAACTTAATTAGATACGAGAGTGGCAAAATCACGGGAAAATTTGAATATCTGGAAGCCAGAAGTAGGATGTTTATTTTCAGAGTGGAGTGAAATACCAAAACTTATTCAACTCCTGGTAGCAGATGATTAATCCCAAGAAGTAAGGAACAAATGATTCTAGGAGATACAATCCAAAAAGCAAACGCACTGATAACATTGAGGCTTTAAATTTCTGGAGAACAGTTCGGTGAATGCCACAGATACTCCAAATTATCTCCATAAATATCTGGCACCGCTCGCGTATACTAACACTACGATATCACTGTAGGCAGAGATCGTCGCAGAGAATGGTTTACCAGGTTCCTGCTTACACACAATCTGGTTACTTAACCCTGATTATGGAAACAATATTCTTTGTAATGTGCAAGCTGTGATAACAGTGTAGAAGTGCTATTTATTTACTGCGGAATAATGGATCCCAGAGAAACAGCTGAGCGTAAGTGCGATTTCATTCAATTGCTTCTGCCCGCTGATTCGCCTCGTATTCTGAAAGTTAAAATTATTGAAAATAAGCATAAAGGGGATGTGGTCGAGTTTGTATGTTCATTCGCAGATGAAACCAGTTAGCTAAAGCTATCCTATCTGATGAATTGTCCAATTCATAATGAATCGCACGGCTCAAACAGGAATGCCCCCCCCCCAAAAAAAAAATCAGCTACGAATGCAATACCTATGATACTGAGCATCTTTTCTGCCCGTAGCAGTCTATTGGTAACAAACGCAGGTTGTAGTTACATCTTACGTTTTCCACGGTCCCTACTCAATGATTTGCCTCAAGACACTCTCAAATTGGAATTCTGTAGACGATTTCAGGGAGGTTCTCGCCTTCCTCCCTGGAGTATTTGGAGAGATTACAGTGTGAAGGAAGTCACCCCATCATTGACCCTTTTTGACGTGCGCTCTTTATCTGCTTGTTCATGGTTGTGACATTGTTCTCTTAGCTATCTTAGTGATATTAGTGTGCACCATGATTCTGATTCTTTATTCTTATCGATTGCACTCCCTTTTATTTAATACAGAACGATACAAATTTCAGGAAGGGGTAGCGGCCAACCAAAGGCCTGCCATACAACATACAAATCAGACGGTGGTGGTGAGATTCGAACACAAGTACTCCGGGATGATAATTTGCTGATGCTACCACGGGGCCACCACCGCCCAGTTCATGTAAATTTTGATTCCAACTATTATCTCACTTTAAAATATGAATTCATAAGATAATTGCATTGGACTTCAGTACAAGAAATCTTTCCTCCAGAAATTTGGACCGCCCCTGCTTTTCCTGTTTTCTTGTTTCAAAGTTACAAAGTTTCCATATTCTTGCTCATTAGCGACAGGTAGCATTCACACCGAGAATTCCTCCCATTGAGTCCCAATGAAATGCCTTCTTGTTTTCCTTTGGATCACGTTTAAATATTATCCCTGCACCAGTTCTTTGAAGTAAAAACAATCCTCTTTGGACGAGCATGTATTCACTTGTCTTGATCAAACTGTGTTTTAATTGGAACGAATCTAGCTGTTCCCACGTATTTCATCCAGAAGGAAGAACAGCGAAAACCTCACAAACTGACGGAAGCTAAGTACATCGGAAGTTAATCAGAGTTGTCTAAGCACTTCCACAGAGCATATTTCAAATGGGAAAAAGAGTGGCGAACTAGCTCGTTTTCAGCGACTCGTAGTCACGTCAAATACATCACATTAGATATAACGCTGGTTATGTATGTATCAGTATTCAACTTTGAAAAGCAAACAATTGTTTTGGGAAAGGGAACATAAAATTATAGGTTATTTGGGGTTAATTTCTTCGTCGGACTGGATGTGGAATTCCCAGTGATCACATAATTATTCACATGTGGACTGCTGTTATTGTTTTCTGTTTCAATTTCACAAACTGGATACGGTTGACCCTATCATTGGAACTTACGCTTGGTCCGTGTTACTTGTGTGATTTGGGGTGGGATCGGAAGGCGGAGAAGGAGGCAAAGGCGAAAGAAGAGAGGCGGAGGGCCACGGTAGGTTGAGTGACTACACAATTTGTTTTTGGGCGCACAACTAATCACCCAAATAACACGGACCAAGCGTAGGATCACATAATTGTTTGGTCATCCGCTCTAGGGGATATGGGGTATGTGGAGGACTGAGCCAGGGGAGCTTAAGCACCTGCACAAATTGTTCTTGGGCTCAAAGAGAGGTGTTGTGCAGGCCACTTCCTACCGATACCGGAGACAGAATGCCTCGATCATATTCACGGTGTGATTTGTTTCAACTAGGTGTGAAACCACTGCACGAGCGAGTGACCTAATCCTCGTGTTTTTACCATGCGGGATGGCAATCATGAATTCGTTCGAACAAACGACTAACCGTGCAGTCTTTATACCTTGTTCCACAGGAACATGCAAATGAATACATAGAAAATGAGACGGCAGATAGAGCAAGAAAGATTTGTAGTGAAGGCGCAATAGAAGAAGAGCTCCGGTTCTTAAGCAATATCTTAACACAATTGCCACACGAAACGCCTGGTTAGCAAGGAGATTCAGTGCAGTGAAGATAGTGTGAATAAGACCGAGTTCAGAAAGAAGATGGTATGCATTACCTTGTCATTCAAAGGGGCAAAACCACCTCTCATGGCTAAATACAGCAAGGATTTGGTCACTCGCTAGAGCAGTGGTTTCGCACCTAGTTGAAACAAATCATCATGTAAATGTGATCCAGGCATTCCGTCCCCTGTATCGGGTTCGAGTTTGACTATCAAGGCAGGTTCGATGTCTTATGCTGGCCACAGCGAAAGCAGTAGGAATTCCTCCTCTCGGTGTGCCCAAAGACAATGTGTGCAGGCGCTTAGGCTCCCCTGGCCCACCCCCTACATACCCCATATTCCGAGCGATCCCAACGATCGGATGACCTAACAATTATGTGATCCGTAGTCATACCGATTACATCAAGATAAATAGTACGCTGTTTATATATAAATCAGTGCTGAACCATAAAAACGCAAATAAATGTTTCGCGAATGGGAAAAAATATCCGGGGCTACGTTCACCTTGGGACCGGATATGGTTGAATACTGATTTATATATAAACAGCCTAATATTTCTTGTGGTGTATTTGACGTGACTACGAATCACTGAAAATGAGCCACCTCTTATTCTATTTGAACTGTGCTCTGTGGGACTGTTTAGACAATTATGTGATCATTGAGAATTCCACATCCGGTCCGACGACGAAATTAGCCCCAGATAACGTATGATGTTATTTTACCTTTCCCAAAACAACTGGTTTGTTTTTTATTGTTGAATACTGATACATATATAACCATATATATAACCGTTATATCTATTGTGATGTGTTTGACGTGACTAAAAATCGCTGAAAACGAGCTTATTCGCCACTGTTAGTTCCATTTGTTCTGAAATCTTTGATTTACCGAGCTAGTTCAATGATCCTGAATCGATTGTAACTTGACACAGCCAGGCAACCCAAATAATGGCGATATTAAATGGTTCTCACTTTTGACTCCAAAACTGTTTACGTTTTGAGTAAAACTTTTAATTATTAGTCCTTGCTGATACTGGGAAGAAAAGCAATGATTTGAGTGATAGATTATTTCGTCAAGATCATCCTCGAAATGTTTTTTGAGTAACTCAACGACTATCATCGCACCAGAAATTCTGTTGATGAAACAATTTATAGAATTCAATCAGTACGTTTATCTTTGTTTCTTCGTTCGGTCACACCCAGACAAAATGAAGCGATGATTTGAGAGACATTTACGCATCACGCAATTTAAACTTTTGCACAAAATTACTTATAAAAAGGTATTTCACGTAGTAGGGTGCCACTGTAATGAACTTAACCACCCACATACCTTAAGGGAAATCACTTGCAGAACGACTCCCAATATTTCAGCTTAGCCTCAGAATGCTGATAGTAAACTTATTATGTTTTCCACAAGAATCATATTATTATCATGCACTTATATATTCCAGCATGCAATCCAGAAACAACTTTCTGAATGTATGTTTCCTTTCATCTTGCCCTCTCTATGGGCATCTCTTAATTCAGCCTAATCCAGTAGAGCAAACGTTCAGTATTTCCAGTAATTGGAGTCGAACCAAAAGGATCTTCGCGTATAGCATACCCATTAAGCCGAACAGAAGCCACCGACAGAATCGAACGGTCACTTGATACATTTGGTTCAGGATCCCTAGGCTAGATATTGAATCATTACAAATGTAAGACAAATCTCACCAGTCCTTGAAAGGCCTCACAGTTTCGTTTTCGTTCCAGAGGAAATAAATTTAAGACCGTGGACATTTTCGTCCAATAATAATAAATGTAAGAAAAACCCACGCTCATTTTACTTAACCGTTTTCGTTGAAAATTCTGCTATTTTGCATTATAAAACATACATTTCTCAGACATTGCCAGTTTTAGTAGCCGAAGGACTGTAGTGCCCAAAAATCAAATTTTTTTCAAAGTTACCAGTTACCCATTATGGTATGATACGTGGAAAAACAGTTCGTTTTAACTCAAACCAATTTATGCAGAAAATCTGTATCGCAGACAGTAAAAACTTGCTAATACCTCATTTCCGTTTTTTAAAACCATTGTCATTGAAAATAGCTCTTTCTCATTGGTACATGAAACTGCATTTGCTTTGGCATGTCCGTAGCGTATCCTCAACACATTTGGTGAACACTGCAAACGCGAACTAGTGAGTATTCACTGATCAATTCGACCTAACGCATTGATCTGTTGTTGTTCACAGATGAGTCAATTGCAGTGTTGCCGGTCACAATATGACCGAACTGATTTTCATTCCATGTGCCTTCGTTGGGCATGCGATCTCTATTACCAGCATGGGGTTTGTGCAAGCAACACTTCTGCGGTATTAGTTTCTTTAAATCCGATAAGAACACAGTGGACGTGAATGAATAGATGAAAAAATGTGTCACATGATTGGCGAGTTGGAGTAAGGTGGTGACAGTTTCCACAATATCGCAGTGCAAGTAAACCGATTTCTCGTCTTGGCTTTCACAAAAGTGTGCGTCGAACAAATAGTAAATCACAATTGGCATAGTGAATGTAAAATGACAAATCACCATGCACAATACTGTACGTAGAAGACGGGCTGATCTTTGCTCCCTAGCTCGCACCCCAAATCCACCACGTATATCGACTGAATGCAATTTCACCGTGCCTTTGTCAACTCTATTCCCAGTGCGTACACATTTTGCGGTTCGGCGTAATCGTATTATAATGCAAGTGTTCAGCGCCAGGATGCAAGCCAGTGGAATAAATGAATAAATGGAGGCATCTATAAATTGCCACGAGTACATGAAATTGGAAAATGCATTCACAGGTACACATTCGTTATTCTTCCGCTGTACAGTCCACAGGAAATGTGCATTTATGCCCATCAGACATACAACCAGTCCAATCAACGCAATCAAACCGTTTCGAAGATGACAGATACTTTTGAATCGGATTGGAAACCGAGTTGAAATTACACGTTCCACACACAGGAGAATTATGATCCAAGAAGAGAGATCCGTGGTAAATGTAAACAACAATAATGGTATTCGACATCCAAGACGTATTCGAACATCGATTAACTGTTTGCTCAGGCCCAGCAGCCATAGACGCAGACACCCGTGTGTAAGCACGTAAGTGTCCGTAATGCACATTGCCACGAGAAATAGGCTTGTTGAACCGGGAGTCATTGGCATTCGTCTAGACCATATGTACATGGAGACCAGATTACCGGGTATTCCAACTATCATAAATATTGGCGGAATGGATGCATAGAGTCCCAAACTAATGTTGGATTTTTGCTGATGCGTTTCTGTTTCGTTCCACTCCATAACAACATTCATGAAATTCACATTGATTCAAATGGACTGTTATAGCCGAAAAAAATTGTATCCAAATACCTATTGTATGAGTGCTTATTTACCAAAGAAAACCAGTTGCATTCCAAGCCTTTCGGCGAATCCTCACGTACAGCAAGCGTAATCCAATTTTGATTGGATGGTACGGTATATTGAATAGAGTGATTCGACCAATCAGAATGCGGAAAATACTGGAATTAGATAACGCGGTTATTGTGATTTGTCGTACGAACGTTTGAAAAAAACATTTCGAGTTGGATAAATAAATATCATTTTCTCACAATGAACACTCATATAAAAAGTTAGATGGAAGCTATTTCGATAATTATTTCACTTCTGTTCCCCTGTTTCGATGACAGGGATTAGTAATACGACACCAACAGCATCGTAGTTTGCTCATTTGAGAAAAACGTTTGACGCATAATACATATTCGTCTAGTGGCCGCTACCATAGAAATAGACCGCAAAGACCAATTAAATGTGTAAAGATGGTATTGAAAGCGTCCAGTCGAAAAAATCAATATCTGGTGTATTTTGTCACCCAAGAGATTTTATGCCTTTTTGCATGCAATCATAAGACTTTCTAACTACATTCGTTTCACGTTTTAATGATGGCAATTAAAGTTATCCATGTGTTCTAATAAATGGCCAAAAGTCATTATATAACTAAAACTTTCTAATCAATGTTTATATGGAGTATTTTTTGGCTTGACTTAACCGTTGCTGAAACGAATTCCTGTTCCATTAAATCCAGTGTTAAAACAGGTTGATGAATGGTCTCATCACATTAATCATTTGTAGTATATTTAATTTCAGCCATATGAGCATTTAAAACCGGAATAATCCCAGTGAATAAATTGCACAAAATCTAATCCGTTCCTAAAAGTTAAACATTTTGTACTGTGGATCCTTGGTTCTGTACACAAACCAAAACCTCACTGAGTGTTCTTCTCACCGATAGTCCTAGACTTAGAACTTAGAATCGTACACCACATATATTCTTAAAAAGAATACCTAACTTTTACTGAGCAGCGATGAACAACAAAATTGATGTCTGCAAACGTTTCTTATACAGGAACATCTATTAAGAGGAAAACTGGTTAAATAAGGAGATTTATGTGACACTACCCTTAGGTCGCGTTCAGGCAAAAAGCATACTTGACATGTCTCTTCACGATTTTCAGATCGCTTATGTTCAATGAGATGACATGACCGTGGAATAAAATATCTCATGGCAAAGTCCACCAAAAGCAAACAGGTGGCATTCTGGAATGATTTCCGACAAAGATGAACCAGGAAAGTGCATCTCGCTTAGGGAGTTGGACCCTTCGACCGAATTCCCTAGAGACGCTCTGAAATCCAATAAATATGTTCGAAATCACCTGTTCACGCTCGTTATATTAATTTTCCCTAATTTACTGATGTTATGAACACCCAGGTGCAACTATTGATATCGTTATTCCACAACTACTTTCTTCAACCATTCAACTGTTTTCCCTCAAACATTTCAAAATCATTACTGCTTGCAGATGAGGCCAACATCTGGAATACATTGACGTAATCAGCGGACTCGCTGGCACTCCCGGAAAGGCTCAAAGCAATTCATCTATGATCTCTTTTGAGCGATATTGAATTCAATTTGCCAAAATATCAGATTCTGTCGCTACGACACAAGCGGCGATTTTCGTATTTCCTCGGAAATGAACAATTACCACATGCCTCAAGTGAGAAGGACCTGGGCATCATCATTCAAGAAAAACTAAGCTGCTCACTCACCTGCGCCAAGGAGTCTAACGTAGCCACAAAGCATGGTCACCAAAATGGTTAAGGGGTTCAGACGTTATTACTATGCAGACAATGAAGTCGCAGGGGTTATATTCCAATCACTAAAGGCGCATCAGAGGAGATATGGTTATGATATACCAAATAGAACAAAACCCAATTCATCCATGTCGTCGATTGCTGAAGTTATCCCAAAACGTTCACATCTTAGAGGAAATCTGTTCAAACTAGTGGTCTGAAAATACCTACTGGAATGTCGGTATCACTAATTTGCAACCAGAGTGTATTCAATCTGGAACTCTCTCTCACCTCACGTCGTCCGTGCGCCAAGCATTGAATTTTTCAAACTGAGATCCGATGAAGCATTAGCACACCTTACATTCCAACATAAATGAAGCTGAGTCAGTGCATCAATGAAAGAAACCCGTATCATGTGACATTTTACACCAGAAGTTGTATGTATCCCTGTATTTCAACCCCAACACGAATCTATGGAATGAGAAAAGTATGAGCTTGTAAGTTATTCCCATAGTAAACCTTTTGCGTTCGATATGGGGTCCTTTGAATTCCGGTACAACAAGTTCGAATGATTAAATATGAAGAATATCGTTACCCGCTACTAGATATTTACCATTCATCTACTATCCTTGAATCGTAATAGTAAATTTCCCTACTAGCTGTGAACTATTCTGCACTAATGTTTTGACCCTTTCTGGATCAGCAATTGATACGTAAGTTATCACAACACTTTCCTTCAATGCCCGCTTTACAAATCAATTGGGACCCTGTCCCAAAGCAGTTATAGAACAAATCAAATTGAAATCAATATTGGGAGACCGATGTTTCTGAGCACATCTGGCAATCTGTGATTGAAAATGCGCTTGGTTTGTATTATATGTGTGTGTGTGTGGTCACATCTTGTGTGGGCAATGTGTTTACTACAATCAATGATACACTAGGGTTTCATTGGCTCGATAGTTCTATGCTATCGTCTCGATTCATTACACTGAGTTATTTATTCGTGCGAACATTGCGAATGCGTCCATTCACATTTACCCTTGGGTTATTATTGAATGAACTTCGCAATAGAAATCAAGGCTATCCTGAACAACTTGAGCATTTTAGGCTGACTGGTAGGCTTTTAAATTTCCCCCTTTTCGATTATTGCTTGGTTCTGGATAATTACTCACCTAAAACTATTCCGTAAATAAATTTTGCCATACTGTTTTTTAGGATCTGTGCAGAAATGAAACAATCTCTGATTCGATTTGCCGATTGAACCGATTGATTTGCACAACTTACCATGGTCAAATAGTCAACATAATGCTCTACTAATTTTCTTCAATGAAAATTTTTCTCTTTTAAGTAGTATATTTTATGATCTCTTTCTGTGGGGCGTATTAAATGACATATTCTTTAACCAATTAGTATCCTAAGTTTGATAAACGAATTCATGGCGTTCAGATAGAAATTATGTCTACAAAGCAAGGCAGAATTTGATCTCATGACAGGTTCGCACATGAGTCACAACAAAACAGATTTTAATTGCCCAAAAATATCCATCGCTTGTTACTGACTGGTTGTTCAGGTTCTGGTATCTAACATAACATGTAAGACGAGTAAAACTGTTTTCGGTGTGTATTTTGTGGGACCAAATAACAGAGACTAAAGACAGATATTGGCCTTGGACATTATTTTACGTCTCCTCTGTCAGTTGGTACCACACTTTTGTTATTTGCGATGGTCCACGTCTACTTTTCTTTCTATACATGTCGCTTGCATTGGTTCCTTAAAATCACGCGGACATGCGGAAGATGCCTAAGAGGTTTCCTGTTCGTCGTTTACGCGCATAATGAAAATATGAAACAGTTTGAGGAAATCGGGATGAACGTTCTGTTCACATATCAACAACATTGTTTGATCACAGTTGCCTTGGTGACCAAATCCATGGGAATATATGTACCCACCGCAAATTAACCTAATAATTGTATATCTACAGGGGCATCCCAATGTTAATCACGGTGCATTCATGCCTTATAAAACCAAGAAGCAGGTAGCAGCTTCTACAGTCACTTATTTCAAATCAGTTCTTCATAACCATATCCTAAAAATGGTTTTAATTTACTCTTAGGTAAAGGGTATTTGTCACATACAGGTGAGCAGTTTTCTGGTAATAAATTGGTGTACACACTTCCATTTATTTCGGTATGATATAACGCAGTTAAAACAGTATTAAAATGTACCGTGTATGACGCTGACGATTATACACATGTTGGTTTGGTATTACGTACCACACTCTTGCCTTGAGGTAATTGTTTCACTTACAAATAGTCCAACTTCACATGTATTCCATTTAAAATGGTATTTCTGTCTCAAAACATGCAACAATTCCATTTCAGCAATTCTTAATCGTTGCTAGTTTTCGCATAATATTTGTTAATTCTTGGTATTTATAATTTCATTCTTAGTGTATTGCTTTTGATTTCGCAAAAATACAACAATACAGATTACAGACTCTTATCATAACCGTTCACTGAAATTGTGCTTCTCGTTCAAGTGTGAACAAGTCACAATTTGAAATCACAATATGTCATTTTGTGATGCGTCTCATCAAGTGTCCAGATAGTTCAGTGTATATAACATTGTTGACGTGCATATGTTTATTCGGTCGGAAAATGAGATGACAAGCTTTTATCACCTCTCGAACAAGATATGTACCAGCTATTCAAAATGCAAGAGAGTTGGCTGAGAATCAATAGTTTGGAATTTAATTGCCTTACTCGTAAAGCAAGTGGGCATCCACGCGCACAAGCGGACTGCTACAAACACAGTGCACTAGTGGTGGAGAATGGCGAAGACTTTACTGGTTATAGATATAATTGAATTTGTGCACCAAAATAGAGACAGTTCACCAGTTCAGTACTGCTGACAGTGATTTATAGTTGCATAAGCGAAGAATGCTATCTGAAACCTCAAGTTATCTTTTCAATACGTTCGATCGGTACTTGTTTTAATAATAAAAGCCGCCCGCTTCGAAACCAGAATGAAGCCTTTTTGTGCAACACACCTCGTTGCACATCCTTCAAATCGTTTTTACTGATTTCTTTGTATAGAAGCATTTCAATGAATGAGATCGGCTTCCCGCTATACAATGTGAAGTAAACATTTACGTATGTATGCCCAACTCTGTGAATGCTTGCCTC